TCGTGACATTTGTAGCGCGAGAAGGGTTCGTAGCGTCGTGAACATTGGTGTAGAAGCGTAGACGGAGTCTTCGTCCATCTTCTCAGTGTAGCCTTTTGCGACAAGTCGGCTTCGTACTCCTGGTCCTTTCTTTCTCTGGACCCCATCTTGTAGGTATTGCTTCTCTGATGACGTTGTCGTCGACTGTGGACGCCTACTTCGTCGTAGACGTCATGTATTTTCATTTGGTTTGACTCGTGTTTCATTCCTTCCAGTATAGTTGTGTTTCGTCGTAACCTTCGTTGTCGAAGATTAGATTATAGGTTGGTCTTCGGAGGTGTCGTCGTTTGTGTACGGAGTGATGGATGTTCCGTTGGGAAGTGTCACTGCATTGATTTTCTCTCGTAGTGGCTGTGGCTCTTTGGCTGCTTGTTCCGTTGATCTGATTGTAGTGTCCTTTGAGGTCTTCTGTGCTTTGGTTGGTTGCATTACTTCTTCCGGAGTCAAGCGTCTTAGTGTTTGTCGAGGTGGTGCTGGTAGTGGTGGATGTTGCCGTCCGGTTGGTGAAGTAGCCATAGGGCTATCCGGTAGTGGTCGTGAACTTGACGCCGATGTCGACGGAAGTCGTGGAGGTGGCGTGGTGCGTTGTTGTTTCGTTGCGGGTTCCACGACGATGTCGTCCGTCACGTTCGTCTGTTGTCCGAAGTCTTGCGTAGATCGTCTCTTCTCTGACGATTGTAGTTGCGTGTCCAACAGTGTTGCAAATGACGGGTTGTAAGTGTTCCGTCGTGGCGCCCAAGGTGTGCCGGAAACTTTGTTTAGCAGTACGGGATCGTGTTTGAAGTCTGGTTGTAGTCTCCGTACTGTTCGTACTTTTTGTACGCCTGTTTCCGTTGCGACGTAGTTTTCTCCGGTTTCGGAAAACTTTTCCGAGCCAGATGCATTTCTGCATCCGTAGGTCTGCTTTTGGAAGTTTCTTGTGCTGTGGTGGAAGATAAAGTAGTGTCTCGCCAAATTCGCAAATTGCTCGCTCGCAATTTCTTCCCCAGCGGCGTTCGATGCTTGTGTAGCCGTCTGAGTGGATGACGTAGCGATTTACCGTCCATGCTGCATGTCGTACTATCCAAGGTAGTAGACAGTGCTTCGTGGACATTGTCATGCTGTAGTTGCTCTCAACTTGTGCTTTGACGACGCGTACCTGTCCGAGGAGTGTTCGATGTAGTCGCTCAACACTTCCTTGACTGTTGCTGCTGTAGGAGGGTGCATGTCGAACAGTCGTTGGGCCAACTGGCTGCTGTAGCTTTTAGAAGTGCGTTGAGTGTGTCTTCGTTGTCACTTTCTAGTATGCCTTGTTCTTTTGCACTCAAAGATGAATGCTTGTAGGTTGTTGATCATGTATCGATGATGGTTTGTCCGGGGCCATTACCGCCATACACAGTTGTGTAGTAACATCAACTGCTGTTAAGCCTGGTAATTATGGTCTTTGGGTCTTGTTGTGACTTGATGTAGGCAAAGTCTACTTGAATGACGGGTTGTCGTGATTGTTGTTTCTTGTAGTTGTCTTGGCGTCCCTTGCCTTGCACGCAAATTGGACACCAATTCCTGTATGGTAGGTGTGTCAAGTTGTGTTCTGCTATCTGTTGTGGAGTTGGCTGCTGTGGTTGTCGTAGTCCTCTTGCTCTGTGTGCTTCATGATGCTCGTGTTGTTGTTCCTCATCGTGGTTTTGCTGGATGTACTCGTAGTCTTTTTTCACGGTGAACCTTGTTGTTCCTTTCCATTGAACTGGTAGTGCTTCGTTGCCCATGACTGTCCAGTCATCTTTGCGTTGTGAAACTTCTCCAAAGTTGTTGTGAGTGATTGTAGTTCTGTGAGGCTCAAGTGTGCTGATTGGTGGATGTCCTGGTCCATCTGTTGGAGTAAATAGTGTAGTTCTAAGTGTTGTGTGGTGTCGTATCCAGTGTTCACCTTGTCTTTCCCAGTAGTCTTGGTTGTCCTCCTGTGCTGTGAGTGGTCTGTGTATTGTCTCCTGTGGTGTCAGGGTCTGTAGAAGGTGCTGCTTTAGGTCTCCATATCTTTTGTGGTGCTCGTAGTTGGATCTTTGATCTTGTTGGTGATGTGTCCATTAGCCGTTGTGGTTGTGAGCTCTTCCTTGTTGGTGTGATCTTTGATGTTGCTCTGCGTGTAGGTGTTATCTTTCTTCTGAATCTGGTTTCTCCAGTCCAGTTGGCACCTTCTAAGACTCTAGTCTTCGTCGTTGTAGCTCTTGCTTGGAGAGTTGTTTTGGGTTCTCTTGTAGTTGTTCTTGCTCTCGCCCTTGTCTGTTGATGATGGTTAGTCGCCAATCATCTAGTTCTTCTTCTGGTATTGGGCAGCCGCTGTGGTGTGGTGTGAACAGTGCTTTGCGTGGTCGTTTGTGAACTCTGATGGCGTAGTCACCATCAAGCTTCCAGTAGTCAGTGTTTCCACCAAGGATCTGTCGCGGTCCTTGGTCTGTGTGTGGGAGTGGTGCAATTTGTTATTGTTGTTGTTTGTTTCTCTGTAGGTTGAATCACAGCAATGGATTTTCCATTGTCTGTAGTCATTGGGTAGATGTCGAATCCTGTAGGGATGTCGATCTTTTCTGCTCGTAGGTAGAAGAGTACGGAGTGTCTTATGAGGTGTGCTTTGTGATCCATGTGTGATGGTGCAGTGTCGTGGATTGAAGTCGAGTCCATATCCTCTATCAAGTAGTCTTGATGCACTGAGGATAGGATACTTCACACCACAAACGTAGTAGGGCATCATGATCCTGAAGTTGTCCTTCTTGTAGGGAACATACTTGATGCCGTAGACAGGAATCTTCTTTTTGGTAACCGTGTAGAGTTGTGGAACTGATTCTCCACAAGCTTGTGGTGGTAGGTCTGGTGCGTAGTCCTTCGGGCAAACATGTGTAGATGCTCCTGAGTCGATCAGCAGGTGATGGTATGACTTGATCGTTGGGGCTATGTCGAAGTGCAGTTGTATTGTATCCTCTTGGAGGAATTGTTGAAAGTTCTTGCTGCGGTCGTTCCATGATGTTGTGTGCGTTGTTTTCTTTCCAAGTAGTGATTTTGGCTTTGTGCTTGTGTAGTAGTGACTTTGCTTGTCTGATGTGTCCAATGGTGAGGTGTGACTTGTTGATGCCTCCAATGTAGTTGGCTGTGTCTTCGTAGCTGTTGTCATTCCAATCCCAACTGTTGTCATAGTCGTAGTCGTTCCAATTCTCCTCCATGTAGTTTACCTCGTGTTGTCCTCCTTCGCCTTCGTAGTACCAGTCCCAGGTGTCGTTCATATCCTGAGGTAGTTCTTCACTGTTGTCCTGATCTGCTTGTTCTGTTTCTAGTGGATGTAGTTCTTCTCCTTCTCCTATGTGCCATACAGGCACTCTGCAGTCCTGGGCCCAATGGCCAGGCTTGCCACATCGGTGGCATGTCATGTAGTTGTTGCTTCCTTCTCCTTTTGCTTTGCTGTAATTTCCTTGGCCTTTGTAGCCCTGGCTTGATCCATAGCCTTTGGATCCCGAGTAGCCTTTTCCTTCGCTCCTGTTGTACCCTCCTTTGTTGTAGCTTCCTTTCTGTACTTGCCTTTGCCTTTGCTTCCTTTGTAGTGGCCTTTGCCTTTTCCTTTGCCTTTGTAGTTTCTTCCTTTCCTCCAAATGTTGCCAACGTCCATTGGTGCAGCTCCTCCATTGTTTGTGCCGACTGCTGAAGTCGATCTTGAGAAAGCTGAAATCGTCTTGTAGTATTTCAGGATGACTGCTCTGATCTCGATGTAGTTCGTGATCTGTCCAGCTCGCAGTTGGAGATGTCGCTGCAGTGCTCCTTTAGTCTTGTTGAGTAGTATGGCGATTTTTTATTCCATCTGATAGTGCTGTGCCGTTGTCTTTCTCGTAGCGATTGATGTCGTATTCCCATTGTAGTCAAACTGTGCTTCGTTGAATGTAGGTTCCAGTAACTTGGTAAGGTAGCCAACGGTTCGTGCTCCTACTGGTAGGCTGAACCTGTTGTGCAAGAGTCGCAGTGTTTCACATCCATTTGCGTTGTGGCGGTTTTGCCTTACTACTGTGGCTGCTGCTCCCTGACAGATGTTGATGAGGATGTAGTGTAGATCTCTGGAGAGGTCTACTGCTTGGCTTGCTTGTGTAGGATCAAGCATGTGTGTCCTAATGTCTGTGTCCTCAATCTGTCGTGTAGCTGCTTGTGCTAGTTGTAGCACCAGGTCGAAGTGGCCGAGGTACGCTTGTAGCTTGAACAGCCATTCTTCACAGTGGGAGTAGTCACCAGTGAAGAAGGGTGGTGGCAGTTTGTATCGATGTAGTCTCTGAACGTCGTTGTCTTGTTCTGTTCCTGCTCCTGTAGTCGTGGCTCCTACTGTTTCTGCTGTTGGCCCGTTCTCTGCTCCTGTAGTTTGTTGTGCTGCAGCTGATGCTGCTTCTCCTCACATGTCGTAGTAGTTTGGCATGTGATTGCTGTTGCAGTTGTTGTAGTACTTACTGCTGAATACTGGAGCTCCCCTATGTTTAGGAGCTCAGCTCCGCTACCACGTTAAATCGGAGTTACACTTTCTACAAGCGCAAGTGCTGCAATGTTGTCACTAACAATCAAACCTGCAGTGTCTGCATCCTAGCGGGCTCTGTAGTCATGAGACAGCAGCTCAAGGCCTTCGGTAGTGTACACATGCAACACAAAGGCAAGTAGTGAAGCATGTAGTTTGACATTTTGTGCTGTCACACAAGACAAATCGCAGTCATTTGCCACTACCCTCGGCTGCCCCTTCCCGGGCTTACCCTGCGCCATGGTGCGATGATCTTGTGAGAATGGTGGTGAGTCGGGCCCAATCAGTCATTTTTGGGATTCCAACCATGTTACGCCATCGGCGATTGAATTGCCATCTACTTTATCCAAGCGACGGGTCGAATGTTTGAAGCTCGCAGCGCATTCGCAACTGGCGCTCCTGTTGTAGCACGCGAGGAAGAAACAGCACTCTGTCTGTTTTCTCCAAGGTACCCACATCGCGTGGACGTGACTCCGTCTGGTTCAGTGCTGTGGATGGATGGCCGTGACCGCTACAGCTGGGTAAGTCTTACAGGAATCCGATTTGCTCCAGGGGAGTTAGGACAGACCAAGTTGGCGGCGGAGAATGGGTGGAGTCTTGGTGAAGTTAGAATTGAATAATTTTGCCTGTCCGTTTTACACAACATCCCACAGGGACGCCATCGAAACACTGGCAAACAAACATCAGCAGGACACTGTCGCTTGCAGCGAGCTTCTTATGTTTGATGGCTGGCGTATTGAATTGCAGCTTTATATGACTCTCCGCTTCAGAAGCAAGACCTGAAAGTTCACCTTGATTGTCTGGACCAAAGCACTTCCGGGTAGCCGGGACACGCCAAAAGCAAATTCAAGCCCCTCCCTCAAAGCCATTGATTCTGATATTGCGCCCTGCACCCGTCAGCCGCCCTTATCCTCCGACAAGCGCGCGCACTTTTGCTGACAGTTAGCCCGACGCGCATAGCACAATCAAAACACCACCGGCGAACAACCACTCCAGTGTTGACTGGTCGCCGAAACACGTCAAAACACCAAAATTCAACCGGGATAAGGCACCAGGACCTCGACACTTTCCAGATAGAACGCATGACCCCATAGCTCAAAGCTCCTTTCTATTTAACGTTGTTTTTTCCCGGCGGAGTTTGTCACACGATTCAACCCAACATGACTCGGTTAGAAATATGTGCACCCTCAGGGCCGGGGCTGCAGATGTGACCAAGCGCAATGGCATTTGCTGCCTGGAAGGACCAGCCTGGTCGCCCACTTACAATTTTGAACGACATTGTGACATTGAAAAAAGGTGCAAGTCCAACTTGGGAGCCCAACCCGCCAACGGCAGCATGGTGAAATTTGCAAAAATTCCTTCCAGCAGAACCGTTTCGTGTCCTGGATAGGACTATTCCTTGGAGGCATCTTGACTACCAGCGTGGCCAAACTGCCCGGCCAATGCGTCCCCAACAGACGGCTCATCCTCAACATGATCACTGAGGAGGGAAAAGTGCCTTTTTGTTGGCGCAAACATCACATAAGCAATCAATGCCTCGGTTTTCAACATTTGCTTTTCACACCTTCCAAAGGAACCTTGGAGGACGTGACACAGCGTGTGGATATTCTGACCACCGGCAAGCTGGAGTGGTTGGGAACAGCGCCACCCGCTGCAAATGCACCAGCGACGCGGTAACGAAATAGTCATGCGTCCCATCGATCAGAGGACTACAGGTGTCCCCAAGAACAGAAGCATAATGCTGCAATTGCCATTATTGCAGGCTTGTGAAGTGTTTCATGGTACCAGCCTGCCAACAGCTGCCCAATCAAGTTCGGCAAGTTCGGCTCAGGCGGGAGTTCCAAGCGTCGTGCAATTAACAGTCTCGGGCATCCTCCTCGTTCCCGATGAATCCCACGCAGTGAGACTCCAGCTGCAGACTGGTTGGGCGCACTACGGTGGAGACTATGGCAAGGCCAAATATGTCACTCGTCGCAGGTTAAACTGAATTCTTTTTGAAGTTTTGAACACGGGATGCCAACATGCGTAGGTTTCTTTTGGAAGAGTTTAATCCTGGGCGCTGGCTACATCCATATTCGAAATAAGCCATCTCTTTGCTCGCTCCCGCATCTCCTGAGATCCTGACTCTTCATACAATCCTTCCCGACAATCCTTGAACTTTGGCTCCCTGCCAAACTGACCAGGTCTTGATGGATGGAATCTGCGTGATTCAAGGCCTCATTAAGGACAGGGGTGCAAAAAGGCAAATCACAGACAGCCATCCCTGAAGGACGGCTCCATGGGTTCCGTGATTGCCCAACTACCAGAAGAGTGTCGCCCAAAGGCCGAGCGCTTGATCTTCAACGTGAATGTTCAGGACGTCAGAAAACAAGTCAAGGTTCAACACATCCAGCCATAAATAAAAGGTCCAGCCGCCCTCTTGAGTCGTTGCAGAAAAGTTGGTAGAATGCCTTGGCTACCAGGTTTTGGTTGTAACTCAGCTGGCTGTTTAGCAGAAGCATGTGGCTTTAGATGGACCCTTTTTCCCACTGAAAGTTCAACTTGCAGCAGGGATCAACCAACTCCTGTAACCTTGGAAGGAACAGCCATGCGACGTCGTGGGTGAAGCATGAAATGAGTGGAGTTTCATGTTGCCTGCTAAACGTGGGCAATTGGCTTGGGTGGGGTGGTTTTCTGTGGGCACAGATGTCTTGCAAACTGGTGTGAAGCTGCTGACACGTTGCGCCATAGAAGAGGTCCTGTTCAGATTGGTTGGTCGGTAGAGTTGCTTCGCCGCACGTGATGGTATATAGTTCTCCCGTTTCAGGCACTGACTGGTCACTGGGCGTTCTGGTTTACGCCTGCCAGACATCGGTTGAAATCTGCTCAGATGCTTTTCGCGTCGCAGGACTTCAGCGCCCGTGTGGATGTGCGAAACAATGGGGAGATGATTTTCAAGGACGCTGAAAGCTGGACGGTGAGCTGGCTCAGCCTTTCGGGCATCAGCTTTGCCGTGTAATGTCGCTCCGTTTGCAGGAGCACAGAATGAGACATGTTCGCTGTGCAAAAAGTGAAAGGCGCAGGCTTGGGGTGTCCAGGGTGTGTGTTGAATTTTGGCCAACTGTCCAAGGTCTGGATTCAGGGATTCGCGAAAGATTTGTGAGACCGCCAGTAAAGGTTGGGTGTTCTTCCCTTATTCGCGCCCATTGCTCACATTGTTCCTCGCCTGACGCACCATTTCTTGAACGGGCGAGTGAATGAATGCGTGAGGAAATTCTTGGCAGCTGAGGCTCAATGCCATATTTTGTTTGACAACCCACATACATGTATGTCTACATATATCCGTATATTTTATATAATCTACAAAAATATATATCCATCCCACACAGTATGGTCAGGATTTACAGGCACTTGAATGTTGGTTTGGCGCCACCGTTCCAAGTGCCGTTGTTTGAGTTTTGTGGTTGTGTCGGTCTCGACGAAATATTCCATGATACCGGAATTGTATTTCCAGCTCCTGTCGATTTTGATGCCCCTGCCAAGTCAAATAGTTCAATTTAAGGCCGCGCCTTGTCAACACAGCCGGGAATTTCGAGCAGTGAGCCACAACCTGCTTGATGGTCGCCCTGGGCAAATCCCGTCAAGGTAATGGTGTGAGTTTCAAGACGATTGCAAAGCAGGCAGACACATGAAACTATATACATATGAAACTTTAGTCCAGGGCGCTCGTTGTAGCATAACTGAGACCGCACCCTCTCAGGTGTGAGCCACTGGCCTGTGATTTCTTTCTCGCGTTCTTGGAAGCGTTCTTTCACAAGCTCAACCTTTGCGTTGAAGGTCTGTTTGACCTGCTTGTGAGCAGCCCTGTCCACGCCCACATCGCGAAGCGCCTCCAAGAGAGCTATCTCCAGGAGTTCTCTACGTTCCCCACCCGCTTTGAAATCTTCTAAGATGGACTCTTTGACGTACAACTTTCCACTCTTTTTGCGCTCGCACGTGCGTCGAAGCCGCATGCGCAACGCGTCTCGACCAACTACCTCAGAAGCGCGTTAATCGCAAAAGGATTCAGCTTATTCATAATGTGGCAATGCCTCACGCAGTTTCCAAAAGGTCACAGCATAGCGCCGGGCTGCAAGTTGTCCACCAGGAACAACGATGAGGGTCGTGTCATCGTGAGGCGTGTTGGCAGGATTGTCCTTCCCAACCGGGGTAAGAGCGTCCGGACGCCTGGTGCTGGAGGGGCTTCTGCACCGCGCGCTGTGCAAGATCCGAGATCCGGTGGAAACCGCCGCAGAGGTCATCGCTTTCTGTGACGGCCTTCTCCGTCGGCGCAAGCGGCTTGAGATCTCTGTGTGCCAGGAAGCCTTGGCCAGGCTCCAGTGGCTCAACCTCGATGATGCCAAACCCGAGGAAGCTGAGTCGGCGCGGGAGCTCCAACGCATCTTTGAAAGGAGGCTCTCAAAGGCTCTTGCGGAGGCTCAGGAGCAGACGGAGGAGCCGGCCGAGGAGCTGGCTGAGACGGAGGCCCAGGAGCAGACGGAGGAGCCGGCCGAGGAGCTGGCTGAGACGGAGGCCCAGGAGCAGACGGAGGAGCCGGCCGAGGAGCCGGCCGAAAAGCCGGCTGAGGCCCAGGAGCAGACGGAGACGGAGGCCCACGAGCCGGCCGAGGAGCCGGCCGAGGAGCTGGTTGAGGAGCAGACGGAGGAGCCGGCTGAGGAGCAGATGGAGACGGAGACGGAGGTCAAGGTGGAGGAGGAGGAGGTGGAGGAGGTAGAGGAGGAGGTGGCTTGACGCCGTGCGGCGATGCCCCGACCACAGTCTCTTTGATGTGCTGATGAGCCTGTTCAAGCGCTCTGTGAATGTGGACCAGGACGGCATTGGGTGGATTCCCGTGCTCCTGCGCCCAGGCCGCACCGCGCCTGGGCTGAAGGGGCGGATCTTCTCCGGCATCGGTCGGGTGCCCGCACAGGAGGCGCCTGCCAAAAAGCGCAAAGGCAGTGAGGGCGCCGTGGATTCCGCTCGGGCAGAGTTCATGAAGCAGCTGCCGCCGGAGATTCGCAAGGAGATCGAGATGGGGGTCCCAGACACGCTTGTGGGGCGCTCTGCATTTGCCTTCAAGAAGTTGGTCCGCTACATTGCGCGGCATCGCCTTGGATCCGTCGAGCTGGACATCAAGAACTCGTTCTTCCAGCTCTTGAACCGACAGAAGCCGCTGCCGCCCATCATGGCGGAGTACCTGGACCACCGTGAGGAGAAGCTCGCGCAGATCGGCCGCGTGCTCTTCCACAAGCTGCCCGAGGCCCGCCGGCGCAGCGTGGCGAAGGAGCTGATGATTGCCCTGGGCTTTGGGGGTGGTTTCGCAAACTGGACGAGCAAGGTGCTGCAGGACATACCCTTGGCTTCGGATGAGGGGGAGCGCGGCGAGGTGGCTGCTTGGCTCTACGGCTTCGAGACGGCGGCGCGCCTCTACCACGTGGCCGTTTTTGAGCTGCTGCCACAGAAGGCCAAGGACTGGCACATGGAGCAGGGCCGCTCCACTGCCTCGGGGGCCTTTGCCCTGTACGCCCACCACGAGAGGTTGCAGATGGAGAAGATGGCGGCGGCAGCGGGCAGGGCCTTCAACGACCACCAGCACGACGGCATCGGGGCCCTCCGCTCCGCGAGCGAGGCCGTGAAGCGAGCCGTGGATGTCGAGGTGGTCGTGCACGAGCTGGAGGACCCGTGGGCATACGCGGCGGCGAAGTACCCCAACTTGGATTGGAGACTCAAGTCGAAGATGGAGTTCTCCGGGTACCACCAACTGCTCCAGCGCTGCAGGCAGCACGTCATACTTGGACGGGCGAGGGCAAACACCGTGGACTTTGCGAAGCTGGCGGCGGCGAAGCTGGTCCCGGTCGTACACGTTCCGGTGGAGGGGGGTGAGAAGAGGACCACCTACGAAAGCTTCGAGAAGGGAGGCTTCTGGCTGGTGCGAAACCGGGACGACTTGGGCCAGACCGTGGAAGACCTGATGAACAAGATGTGTTGCCCGGTCTTCGAGACAGTCGATGAGAACTACGTGCCGCCGCCGCCCCTCAACGATAATGCCTTCTTCACCGGTCTGTCCTCGTCCGTTCTGGGGCGTCTGGCAGGCCCGCAGATGGCGGACCTCGACGGCGACGAGACACGGCGCAAAATCCTCTTTTGCGACGGCATGCTCTACGATTTCAAGGAGCGTGTCCTCCGATCACCGATCCCCGCCGACCGCATGGGCTTCCACGCAAAGGCGACCTCAGAGATGTGGCAGCCGAGCAAGGCGACCAAGCTCTTCGAGCACATCCTGGCTTTCTTGAAGGAGCATGTGGAGACGGGGGTGTGTCTGCTCGAGGCCAGCGAGAATGGCAAACAGGTCATCGAGTGCTTCGAGGAATTGGAGCAGGACGGGTGCGAGATCCTCCGCCACATGAAGGTGTACGGGGACTGGGACTCCGTCCTGTACGAGCTGCGTCTCATGACCAGGGCCATCTCCGCGACGCCGCGGTTCTGCGAGATGTACTACATCTGGGGAAGCCAGGATTCCGGGAAGGACACCAAGGTGAAGATGTTGCACGCCTTCCTCGGTCACGGCAAGGACAACTACGGGGTGCAGCTTCCGGGAAACTATGTGGTGCAACAGACTCGCTACCTGACCGCGAAGGACGGACCCGCGCCTTACCATGCAAGGACTCTAGGCAAGCGGCTGGCCTGGGCCAGTGAAGTCCCCGAGCACTACTCGTTGGCGGATGACTTCATCAAGCCCTTTTGTGACATGGAAGGTGCGCCAGTCTGCAGCAGGAAGCTCAACAAGGGTCCCCGGGACTTCATGCCTACGGCTTTGCTGGTGGCAACAAGCAATTCCCCTCCCCGTGTGACTCGACCGGATGGGATGCTGCGGCGGCTTCGAGTCTGCCAGACAACGGTCAGCTTCACCTTGAAGCCGTCCATGGCCACCGAGGAGCGAGCCGTGGATGGCCTCAAGACCCGGATAAACCGAGGAGAGTTCAACAAGTACATCTTCTTCCTTGCGGCAAATCTCGTGGACTCGTTGGAGATGGAGTACAACCCAGGCACCGAGATCAAGCCGCAGCCACCGGAGATGAAGATGAGCGCCATGGACCTGGTCCCATGTGCAGACAAGGACGAGGAGGCCAAACCCGAGGCCTTCATGGCAGAGATGTGTGAGCTGGTGCCCTTGAAGGAAGCAAGCCTCCACACGGAGCTGACGATGGCGCTGAAGACCTACCTCAGCCTGGACACCTTGGGCGCGGCAAAGAGCGTGATCTCGAAGTTGGGGATCAAAGGACAATCCTATGGCCCGCGGTACATCTCCACCCTCAAGCAAAATGAGCGCATGGTGGGTGTGAAGCTCCGATCGGCATCGACAAGTAGCTCTTAGGCTTTTGGGTGACGTACAGTGTCAGCCATTTGCAGAGACCCGGCAAGTCACGTGAACAGATGGCGTGCTTGCGCAAGGAAAACACTGTCCAACCCTTGCTGTCTTGAGCGCACCTCAGATGTCCAACCCTTGTTAGATGCCTCAATGCCTGAGGCTTCTGCGGTCTCGACGTCTTGCTCGGGCAGGTCGATAGGTCGAGGACACGGACGCATGGGGATTTAGATTTTTATAATGACGTCGTCCGAGAGACTTGGGGTGCTCTCAGGAAAATCATGCTAGGGTTCCCCAAAAACACGACTCAAAGTACTACAAGTTTCCAGCGCTTTATGCAAAGTTTCCAGTTTGGTCCAAAGTAGCCGTAATCAGTCGAGGGTCCTGGGCCTTGGAGGCGCCAGGAAGTCGTCCAGCTGCCTGACAGCTGCCGGCCTGCCCCGCCTCGTCAGTCGGCCCGCCGCGTTGCCGCTGCCCTGGGGCGCCGGCAGCGCCAGCTTCAGCAGGGTCTCCCGGCCCTCGGTGCTCCGGACGGTCATGGAGTCCACGGCCCGCAGCTGCTGCACGTCGCCGTACTGAGGGTTGAAGCTCCTCGCCGCGTTCGTCGGTGCTCGGAAAGCGCCCGCGTCCTCCACTGCCTTGATGCGGCGGTTCGTCAAGT